ATATATATATATATGATATCTGATGTCTTGTTTTGACTGTCTGATGTTTGAAATGCTTTTCTTCAGGCGTGCCGCCCAACAAAGCGTCATACGTCGACGACTTGGTGGTAATGCTGCCGCAGAACGTGTGGGACCACCTTTACAGCAGGTAGGCGTGGTCCAACAGGCCACACCTCTTTAGATCTCACCGTTATTATTATTATTAATTATTTGATGCATCCTCTGCAGGTACGGAGGAGGACCGGCCGTCAATCACCTCTACGTTTGCCACACGTGCCAGACTGAGATAGAGAAGCTGGAGAAACGGCGCAAGTCGGAGCTGGACATGTTTGTCAGGGTGAGCGTTTCTGTCCACTTTACCCAGAATTCCTTTAACCAGTGTGGACGATAATGCATCGTGTGCCTCTGTGCAGCTTGGACTAATGGGTGCATTTAGGCCCTTTTCTCCAGCCTGTTTTACAAGATGATGGGKCTGCACGTGTCGGTGCTTTTCACCCCCCAAACAGCAGATAAGAAGAGTGAAGCCAGATAAAAGCCTGATTGTGAAAGGACTGAGACAAACGCAGCTGTTAGCCTGGTGTGCTCCTCTCACACAGCGGCCCCTCGGAGCAGAAATGAATGTTTTTTTTTTTTTTTAGGGTTATTTTACTGCTCTGTGCAGGGCCGGCCCTAGCTAATTTGGCACCCTGGGCAAGATTTCATGTGGTGTCTCTTTTGCACAGGGTTCCCAGAGCTGAAAGCAAATTAAATTTAAGACTTTTTAAGACCTCTTTAATGCCACTTGAAATGACATTTAAAACCAACTTCATGATAATCAAAAATTTAATAAAAATGGCAACAATTTTACCCAAGTGTTTATTTTTTAACGCAAAACAACTACCTGCGAGAAGCATTCTGAAAATTAAAAATTAATAAATCTTACCAATAATTTTAATATTTGAGACAAATTACAATCATCCTACTTAGAATGTGTTGACATTTTTAAAACATTTGAAAGACTGTTTTTGGACATTTTAAGGCTAACTAAGGCTTTATTTTTGGATTGATGAATTCAGTGACTTTTAAGACTTATTAAGGACCCGTGGGAACCCTGTTGCAGTTTTCTAAGCATTACTGCCAGTTTACGTGCATTCACATTAAACAGTTCTTTCTTTTTTTACTATAGATTATCTTATGATATTATTTTCTATCTTTAGAAACCAGGTTGTTTAATTAAAATAGTAAACAACATAACACATCTACACAAAACTGTGCACATTCCAGCCATATGAAGATTGTTTTACTAAATTTTGGGGATTAATAAAACATAAAATCTGTATTTCATGGAAGTAGAAGACTGAAAAACGGACTTTAATCTGAACTTTATCTTGAGATCTTAAATGAAACATACATTATCTTTATTTTGTTTTCTATTTACACTCTGAGCAACAGTAGTTAGTCTTGACTGCATCATATGATACTTTTATTGTGAAATATCCTCTGCACCATATAGCCTAAGCAGAACCAGTTACCTTCATGATTATTCTACAGACTAAATCAGCTATACTCCGATAAAAAGTTATAAAATGGTTTTTATCCACCCCCATTTGTGACGGCGCCTTTACTGTTTGCCTACACTGCCTATGCCACGTCTCTGAAAAGCTTCATTAGGAGAAGAAGACAGGAGGAGCAGGGACTTTATTTCTAAGAAAAACGAATTCTGGGCTGTGTGATCTTAAGAGTGTCCTCTAATTGGAATAACTACCAGAAGGAATTTAATTAAGTTTTCCATCTCCTTTCCTCTTAATTATTTTACCCCCACCTCCCTGCCGTCTACCCGCACTCCTTCCTCCCTGTCTCTGTCCTCCTCCCCCACTTCCTCTCTCCCTCTCCTCCTGTCTCTCTAGCTGAACAAGGCATTCCAGGAGGAGGAGTCTCCGGTGGTCATATACTGCATCAGCATGCAGTGGTTTCGTGAGTGGGAGGGCTTTGTCAAAGGAAAAGACAATGGTAAATGGACTGAAATCCCCCCTCGTCTCCCTCCCGTCTTCTTTAAATGTCTGGTTAGAAGGTTAAATATATCCCAAGTGACATCTGATATGTAATTACATCTTAACAGGGGGAATTACTTGCTTTATTTAATCTGATCTTTCTTCTAAAACAATAATAAATATGTTTGTTTTTTTATAGTTTGCATAAATTACCTATTTTCAAACAAAATTCTGGAGGTCCTTTTCCCTTTTTCCTGATAGTTCAAAGAATGTTCCTGCTCCCCTGAGCCAGGTTTCTCTCCTTCAACAGCAAAAAGATGTCAAAATAGATTTGATTTTTCGTCTCCCCTCCCCTCTTTGCGTTGTCACATCTATTTATAACGGCTCGGATCAGGAACGTCTGCAAACGTCGACTTCTGCTCCTCCGATCTTTGTTGTTTTTTTTTTCCCTCTCTCTGTTGCAAATGAGGAGCAGAAATGTCTTTTCATACTTTGACAGAAACACTTGACGTTTTAACATCGCTGCTCTTTGAGTCACTTAGGATTTAGAGCATGTCTTTAAGAAGATTAGCTGTGTAAATGACTGCTATCTGTAATAAAAAGCTAATTTTCTTCTTTTTTTATTCCCAAGATTCACCAGGACCCATTGATAATTCCAAGATTACTGTAAACAAAAGCGGACATTTTGTGCTCAAACAAGGTACGTATTTTATATTTGTCTTTATATATATTGTACATAGATGCTAAATATGTGTGTTATTTAGTAATGTATGGTTTTGCTTGCAGGGGCAGACTCGGGGCAGATCTCTGAGGAGACGTGGAACTTCCTCCACTCCATCTACGGCGGCGGCCCGCTGGTCACRGTGCGACCAAACGTCAGCCACCAGGAAGCCGAACCGTCGCAGTCGGAGGAGAAAATCGAGGTGGAGACGCGCTCGGTTTAATACGGCAATCGACAGTAAACGAACAAACGAAAAGAAAATACCTCCAAGGAATTTAACAAGAGAAGCCTTTTATTTTGCACTTAATTTTTATTATTATTATTATTATTTGAA